CATATTTAGATAAACTAACTGTAATTAGTTAAAGAAAATCATTCATGTATCTTCAACAAACAGAATTGTTTCATGTTACATGTACTCGCTTCGGCGGTATACATGCTAGAATTGTTTCATCATTAGGTCACTTGCATTTACTTCCAACCCATTGTACATATTATTTCCGTGTCAAATGTACTGTGATCATCTTCACCCTTTTTCATTAATTGCTTACAGATGGTAATATTAGTTGGTTCCCGATAGCATATACTCAATAAGAATGATAAAATAATAATTGCATAGATTACAATTGAAACAACAAGTCAAATGTTGATATATGTGAATAAATTATGTTTTGCCAAGAGATACGACATGTAACGTCTTTTATGACTAAGACATAGGCCTGAATTCAATTCAATATAGTTTCATTACCAGAATTCAACTGACTGTTCGTTCTAGTATGAAGCTGAAAAAAAATGAAAATTCATTCAAATTTTCTCTCATTGTGAACAACACTCATCCGTGATGAATAATAAATATAAATCTTAATTGGTTCATCAAACATTCTGTTATTTTCACAACTGTTTAGATTTCCGTTTCAAATTTTCCTATCGTTTGAAGGAACTTACATATTTGTGAAATAAAAATAAACTTGTTTGTCGTTTGTATCATGGAAATTCCCTATAAAAAAGTTTGAGTGGATTGTTTAAGTCAATTTATTATCACTGGTGAAGTCCTTAAAAATTAACGTTTTCAAAGGGAAATCTGATTGATAAGATAAATTTAGAGTCTGAAAGAAATTGAATAAGATGAGAGTTTCAAAGATTACTAATATTACGAATTCGGTACAAAATTACCTACTAAAATTAAATGAGAAAGGTAATATTTACCAAATAAAAAGACAATTCATCCCATTTCAATGCTAATATCCACTATCCTCAAAGTTTTTTTGTTAATTTACACGTTAACTTTTTACGTTGTTTAGTTTTCATGTAATATGTTTAAATAGCCTTGGAAATGACTCTACACAACTAAGTTTTTAGATGATCTCATCAGTATGCTGTTTTAAGAAACATTTCTTATTTTATCAGTAGTTAATGTTAATCCTCAATTAATTATCTTAATTTATGTTTACATAATGTTTGACATTTGAACAGATGTTAACGAACAGTTGCTAAAAAAGGAAGATCTGCTTTGTGTTTGAGATGAAGTTGTAGTATTCCTTATTTTATATATATATATAACTAGACCATTGAGAACAAGAATTCTTACATTTTTAAACACACAAGTTTGAAAGTTCTGGACATTACGAAAATTAAGCGGGTGGTTTACATTTAATCATCCACTATTAATCTGATATTAGGAACACAAAATAAGTTATGGTTTGGAAATACTAAAATAATCCACAATTTTGAATATATTTGAGATCGAGCTACGAACCTTTAGCTTTTATGGTTGACCAAGGTCGATGATGATGATTTCCATTCGCCAAAATGTTTACCATTGCACTCTGGAGTGAAAAGATCACTTCATGGTGAAAGTGAAAGAGAAAATATGCAAAGGCATTGTAGTTAGTAAGCTGAAATACAAAAATCAGAATCAGTACATCACAGTCATATCATATTCTCGCTTTACATGATTGACCCCTTGATCGCACAGCTTATTGATTCATTAGAACTGATGATATATGTGTTGATCAAAGTTCGTTGCAAAAAGCAAGTTTTCAAATATTATCTTCATACGAATTTGTCAACAAGCGCCAAGGTAAGAATGGACAACACCGGATATGAAGACATTATGGTATGACAGGGACTGGTAGAAAGAAACGAAAATGGTGACAAATTAACAAACCTATGTGTCTTCAACAAAATGGTGATTATCGGCACCGTAATCCCATATAGTCGCATACACAAAGCAACATGGATTTCCCCGGATCACACCACATAGAATCAAATTGATAAATTCTGCAACAATAAAAGATTCAGAAGGATGAAGGAGGATGTGAGAATCAAGGGCTGGGACAACGAGACTTTAGATCATTACTTGCTGGTTGTCAAGATGAAAGTGAAACTCAAGAAACATTGGACTACGGGGCAGGCAACATCACAAAAGTTAACATGACCTTCCTTCAGAATACTGGCAAACTCAAAGAATTCAACATAACTCTCAGTAATAGATTCTAAACCCTTCATGACTCACTCAATGGAGAGAAAACTACCCTAAGGAACAACTGGAAATCGATCAAGCAAGCAATCACTTCAGCATATCACGAGGTTATAGGTCACAAGAAGCATAATCACAAGGAATGGATCACCGTTGGTACTCTTGAAAAAATTAGAGAAAAGAAAAACAAGAATGGATCATCCAACATCTGTCGAACAAAACCAGAGAAGGCCAAGGTACATGTTGAATACAAGGAAGCAAATTAAGAAGGTGAAGGGGGACATCAGAGCTGACAAACGAAAATGTGTGAAAGATGTAACAATGACAGCATGACGAACGACTACCAACAGAACGGAAAGAAGGATACCTGATCAAAACACCAAAGAAAGGCAATTTCAGAAGGTGTGAAAACTAGAGAGGCATCACTCTTCTCTCAATACCAGGCAAAGTCTTCAACAAAGTGTTGTTTAACCGAATGGAAGATTCTGTAGACGCTCACATTCGAGATACGTATGCTGGATTCCGTAAACATCATTCATGTACCAACCAAATCGCACGCAACAATACGAATGATTATGAAGCAATCATTTGAATGGAACTCACCAATCCACATCAACTTCATCGATTAAGGGAAAGCAACTGATAGCGTGGACAGGATGAAAATATGGAGACTTCTTCAACATTTAGGCGTGCAGAAGAAAATAGTCAACATCATATGGAATACATAGGATGGATTGAACTGCCAAATCGTGCACAGAAGACAGCTGATAGGCTCGTTCGAAGTGAAGATCGGTGTCAGTCAAGGTTACTTACTCTCACCATTTATCCTTCTCCTGGTGATCGACTGAATAATGAAGACGTCAAAATCTGAGGGGACGTATGGAATTCAGTGGATAGATCGAATGCATCTGGACTATCTGAAATTTGCAGATGATCTAGCCCTTGTTTGCTACACACCACAACAAATGAAGAAAAAGGTAACCAGTGTAGCAGCAGCAGCAGCAGATCTCAACATACACAAGAGGAAAAGTAAGATTCTTAGATGCAGTGTAACATGTATCAACAAACTGACATTTGATGAAGCTTTGGAAGGTGTAAAAACTTTTACATATCGGGGCAGCCTTATTGATGAGGAAGGTGGATCTGATGCATTTGTGTAGGCTTAGATCAGCAAAGCAAGATCAGCATTTCTACAAGAGAACAACATCTGGAACTCCAAACAACTTTCAACAAACTGTAGGATCCAAACTGAGGTTTGGACTGAGAAGTAACTGTCCTGGTAGTTTAGATACGAGTCTTGCACAGTTGAAATCAAAACAAGTGATTGGGTAAATAACTGTGTGTCATATATATAAATTTACATCATTGCCTAAACAATATTACCACACCTATTCCACCAATGATTGTTCTCCTATTCGAATGAATGATATTCTATCCCTTCTGGATAGAACATATTCTTTCGACAGATAATATTTGGTTGCTTTATAACACAAAGTGTTCCCAGTTCTGGAAGTGTGCTTCAATTCACAATCAAAATGCACAATTCCAGTCAATGCAAACAATCCAATCAAAAGAGGAACAAATCAAATATGGCTGTCTCCATGACTAAGTATCAGCTTAAACAACATAAATGCAGTTCAGAAAGAAACATAGAAACTCAGTAAAGGCAGAAGAAATAGAAACTATAATAAAATACAAATATTATCATCTCCAAATAGAATCGAACAGATCAACAAAATGTACAACCGAAGGAATTCATAAGGAGAACTTACAAATGTATACATGGAGGGATTTTCACAAACGAGGCCTTCAAAATGGATCTTACAAAACAGCAAAGTCTGAATTTTCGACGCAAATGTCAAAACGATTCTACTGAATGAAGCAGGAACTTGAAGAACAAGGAAAGTCATCATCCAGAAGATACAAGTATTTGTGAATAGTCTACGCCAAATACTTCGGAGTCGTCGGTTCGACACCATCAGTAACAACCTACTGTGAGAGAGAGAACAAACCAGATTCCAGCGGAAGAGGAAATCAGAAAGAAGCGCTGGAAGTGGATATGACACGTACTGAGACATGCACTCAATTACGTCACAAGACCAGCTCTCACTTGGAACCCTCAAGGTCAGTGGAAGGGAGGAAGGCCAAGGAACATATTACGCCAAGAAACGGAGACAGACGTTAGAGGATTGAACCGTAATTAGACAGAACTGGAAAGGGAAGCCCAGAACAGAGTAGGCTGGAGAATGATGGTGCCTGTGATCCATCCACTATGGGTAAAAGATGTAAGTACAGTAAGTAAAAAATCTTCAGTGGTACTAATTTAGGTTAGTTTTATTAGAATGTGAAAATGTTATAAAGAAAGTACATTTGGACCAAGGGTAGCTTATCTTTTCATATAAAATAATAAAGTACTAGGTTGGTGGATACTACTAGCAATGTTGCTCATAATTAGTATGCAGCGGAGTGTCACCTTTAAGTTCCTACTCGAGAGAAGAGTAATGATCCGAATGTATGACGTGATTTATGTAGTTTAAATAACAAAAGCAACATAAAAGAAGACAGTCGATAATTTGACTGTTGTTCAACTGAAGGTTTGAAGATCAAATGTATACATTTTTTTTTCGGTAAACAGTGTATTCCCTTAGCACACTCCATTGCATTTACTCTTCACGTTTATATAGATTACACTGGTAATTTATTTTTAGTTTGTAGCTAAAATTATAGGAATTAACACTATTGTTTCTATCCTTAGCAGATAACTTATTGATATGAGTAATAATCCAACTTATGAATTGCCATAATATTGTGATGAAGTAATCAATATCTTGTTTCTAACTTTCTTCCAACTTTAGGTTTATCCGTGCGTTGCTACAAATGTTTACATTGTCCAGATCCATTCGACCCTGCATCTCCTTCAGTATACAATAAAAGTGGCTGTAATTGGTGTTCAGTAAGTGTCACATAAAATTTACATTTTCCAAAGAATTGTTCATTTGATAAATTATACTGACTATTCACAGTTTTACAAGCTGAATTCAATGATAAGACCTAAAGCAGTGCATATACAGAAATACGTTCAACAAAAATTTAGTTGTTGATTCAGTAAAAGGATGACATTATTGTTCTTCAAGAGTGAGTATAATTGACCAACTAGAAGTTGAAACTTAATCATTCTGCTTGCTAACTTCTAAGAAACACTTAATCGAGATGGTATAATATTATTTAATGCTAAAGATATGTTGCAGCACTGTCATTTACTTACTTTCTGACAAATTTAAAATTAATAACAGGAAGAATTGATGAAGAGTTGAATTTTAAAGTTAATCTTACGGACTGCAATTAGTTAAATAACTATTCAAAACCAGTAAACACTGGACAGTTGTTTAGTCCGTGTAGAGGTCTGCCTAGCAATGAGCACCAACAAAATATTTACACATCAATAAGTCTGGAAGATGATTAGGAAATTTTGATAATTGTTAAAAGTTAAGAATGGAGATTGACATCCTGGTGTGGTGGATACTGCTAGTAAAGTGGCACACCCTTAAGTTGTTGCCAGGAGGAGTAACTGGAGTCCAAAATGCATCGCGCGATCAGAGTGAGTGGAAGACCAGACGAGATGTCGGATAAGACAATCTGAACGCTTCTTGTGTCTCAAATAGGTTTTTGAGGATTAGGTGTACATATTTTGTGAACAAACTATTTTCTGCAAGATAAACAATCTAGTCTCGACTTCCTCGTACATTTCACCGGGTTTGATTTCTGATATTCAGTTTACCCTGGTTTTCATCACCTGTCATGTTGTGACTGCAGATTGATCCATACCTGAAGAAGAGATGCTCTAGTATCAATCTTGAAATATTTTAGTTATCAGCTAGTTCTCTAAATTTTTTACCAAATTTACACTTCAAACTTAAGTGTTAACCTTTAGCTTGTGGTCTAGAACAATCCTAACTTTTGTTAGTCCAAATCATGTACCATACCTCATACCCATTCTTCCATTCGACTACAGAATATATTTCTCTAAATCAGCTCACACAATAGCATAGATTATTATCCTGAATACACATCTACATGAAGACAAAATCACTATGCCAGCATAACTATACAGAAAGTGTATGTGTGGTATAGGTGAATGATTAGTTAGTCGAATCAAGGTATAGTAAAATGTATAGCAATAATTAATCAATTCACTGAAATCTTACAATAAACGGAATACAATAATGTAGTCTAGTTATTCTGTGATTATATAATTACTAGATCATAAATGGGTTTGCAAGGTTAATACAATTTTCATATTCCTCCTACATCTTCAATAGTTTTATCAAGATCAGTTCGTGACGTGGACTATGAAATTTACTAACAATTATCAACTTTGAATGTTGTTATAATAATCACCGGATTTTCTCAAACCACATTATAAAACTGTAAACAAATTCGGGGGTTAAAAGAGTCTAAATCAAGCTAATTAGTGGAACTAAGCGAATCGTAGCTACTTTTTTTGTTACGATTAATAAACTATGCATTATATGATGTTCAATCAATAACTTACTATATGTGCGTAAATAACACAAGATTAGGAACATTTGATGTTTCTATACAGAAGATAGTTCATTACTTCGTTGAACTATTTAATTTGTAACAAAAAATTTCCTGGAAAAAAGACCAATTTCACAATTCATTAACGACCCTGAATACATTAAGATAAATGCAAGTTGTGGGATAAGTCAGTAATTTACAGTTACAGTTTTTTTTCGAAATCCTATCACCTTCTTATTGATTTTTAACTGAAATTTGTTGGTGTAATATTTACTGTCAAAAACTTTATTACTCCTGTTAATCTCATGGTGTTCATGAATATTGAAATTCATAATTTTAATGCTATGTGAATGTGTAATTGCGAATTGATACAATGTTCTAAATTTTAAAAAAATAGTGTAGTGATTTCAAACCTGTATAAGTTCACCAAAGAGGAAACTTATATTTGCATGTCTCAGAGCTGACGCTTCTGTAAACCTGACGTTTCACTAGACAATCTGGTTCAAGCTATTTCAAGGAAACTGATACTGATAAACTATTCGTTCAAATTTAGACCAAAGTGTTCTTATAAACTATAGAAATACATTTTCTCATTTAAAATTTCGATGAACCGACAACTTGCTGTGTTGATCAATTACACTTTGGACATTTTTTATGCATGTTATTCATGTGTTGATTCATGGTTGATTACCGAATCAAAGTTGCATTCAGCATGAGTTCGCCACTTGTAAAAATATTCATCTGTCCGTTTTTTTGCATCTATTGTTGAACTCAATTTATTTTACCTACCACACACGTTCCTAAAAGAAACTAATTCATATCAGATTGGAAAAGTGATTCACAGACATCCATCTCCTCTTACACTGAAAATACAACTGCATAAAAGATTTTAAAATCGAAGTAGTAGCTTATCGATTATTTTATTGATTAAAAACTTAATTAAATTTTACAATCTTTTATTATAGAAACTTAAGCTTCCAGGACTATCTGTCCCCCTCAGACAATGTTCACCTGATTGTAGCTATGAGTATTTCGGCGAAACATATCCCGAACTTACTTATTACTGTTGTCAAAGAGACTATTGCAATGAAAGTGTACAAACTCGTGTTACTCATCAAATACTACTTATCACACTGATTACACTCATTTGTATATTCACTAATAAAAAGAAATAATTGGAAACAGACAATACACTTCGCCCAAATCCAGATATTTCTGCAAAGTCACATCCTACTATTTACATATTCAATAATGTGAGAGACATTTTCATGTTTTCTTATTCATAACTGAGAAATTTCTATTTTTTTATATTCTTTTTCATTATATTACATAATAATAATGATATATTTTTAAAAAATATCAACTTCTGTTTATTTTTACATTTGCGTTATGCAGAGGAGATAAGTTGCTAATAAGAAATGTTATGTGTAACATACATAGTGAACTGGATTACATAGGTTGAATTTCTTTATGTTGCATAAATTGCTTGTTTTCTCCAAGAATCGATCGTTCATGAGTACCAATTAAAGCATCTACAAATACTACAGTAAATCCATAAATCCGTAAATCCATATCAAATTAACGGAAATTCTATGAAATATTCCAAACAATTCATCTGGTTTAAGCGTTAAATACTCTACCGGTTTTTGCGATTGACTAACTGTTATCAAAATACAGCATTGACATGTATTACTTTAGCTAATATGATATGAAATTTGCGTTTTTATTGAATGCATGAGTTACGATGTATCGATTAGTTAGATACATGGGTCTGATATACGGAATGCTTATCAATTAGAAAATCAAATGAGGTTAATACAAACACTTCTCACAATTATGGTTTAGGGGAGAATTATGTTCAGTAGTAATCATGCTCATGAGTAGAATTTCAACAAGGAGTTCGATACAGACAGTTTCAGAAACATTATTATCATAATTATGTTGAAGTGGTGCTTATTGGAATATTATGATCATACCTGTTTATTTTGGTTATATGAAAGCGTTTTTATTTGAATGATAAAATAGTTATCTTGTTGATCTGAATGTGAAAACAAGTATCATATTGTAAGATCTCATCAGAGTTTGATTCATTTGAAATATTTTCCTCAAATTTATCAGTGACTTCATCAGAATTTTCTTGATAAGTTAGAATTATTAGCATTTTCTATGAAATCATTAGAAATTTGATCAGAAATTTATTCACTTGAAACATTTATCTCTCAATAATTTTGAATTTCACTGAATGTTACCGGATAATTAGAATGAGAGAAATCTGACAAAGAAGCATTCGAACATCAACAATAATATATCTTATTGATGACTTTGTTAACCACCTTTTCTGTTAGTGTAACGAGAAATGCATCAATTGCCTCGTTCAGTCTATTGATAAGTGTTTAGTGTGCTCCGGATTTGATTGTTTCAGCATGAGTTCTTTTAATTCACAAAGTGTATTGAACAAGATTCAATGAACAGTAAATTGAGACATTGAATTTACCTCTCTAACTGAAATTGACATGTTCTTAAACTTGTGAGTGCGTCGTTCATGGTAATTACGACTTGATAAAATACAGAAAATTATTTTTAACTGCAAAAATCTGAATTTGTGACCAAGTTTAACTAAAAAATGGTGTATAACTGGGACTAGACAATTATATTGAAAAATAGAACTTGTAAATTCTGTTTCTAGGACCCATTAAAATTCCAACGAAGGAAAGTAAGAATAAAAAAGACTGGTATGAGTAAAGATTTATACACTTCAATGTACTGTGATTCTAGTCAAAAATTCATATATTTACATACAGATTTGTACATCCAATCTATCATTATTCAGGAACAAATCACGTTTGTAAAACTGAAATCAAATAGCATGTTTACGAGATGTTGAATATTGTCCGCGTCAAATTAATACAAAGCATATCATACCTTTAAAAACACCTCACTGAAAATAATAAACTGCGTAATCAAGACACTGTATACATAAAATTCAACTATATAACTTTAACCTGTCATATCATTTTCGATTATATTATCCCGAATATTCTAACCATCAGATACTAAGTGAAAGACTTGTTCATCGTTTGAGATGCAGTTGAAGTATTCACCGTATTATTCCTTCAAAGTGATACAAACATTGTACTATCGACATGAACGTGCCAAATTCTTCCTCATGTAGTTATAGAGATTGTTGTTGTACCTTGGAATCGTGAATTGGTCATTGTAAGATCGTCATCAAGGCATCTGGAAGCACTAGAAAGCCGTTTCGTCCTAGTATGGGACTCTTCAACAGTTCTACAAAATGTTCCGTAAAACTATTATATTTCGTTACAATCAGACGTTCACTGGTAGTAGCATTTTGATATTTGATAACAGATTAGTTTACAAGCTAAAAAATTACTCGGCAATCGGTTGTATTTTTTAGAACTACAAATAATGTATTGGAAAATTAAAGAATTCGAATCGATTCCACACATTTATATCGACTATTTTAATAATTCCTCTGAATTATTTCCCGGAAACCCCAAGAAATCCTGATATTGTCAGTAGTTTATTGTTGATATAAACACAACTGAGATTGAAAATTACTCACAAGAACTTGTAAACATGGTGTTTCACATGATTTCTAAATAATAACAAATCTTATTGTTGAAAGTAAAGTCTTCTTTAAGAATTTGGCATAAAACTGGAGTTTTCCTGTTCAGAACACTACTATTTATCTTAACATACATTTAACTGATTATTTAGTCAATTCTTACTAAGTGGTCGTAGTAAATTTCAATGGTTGTCATCTTATTAATCGTTTCACAATTCCGCACGTACTTGTATTGTTACAGAACTTAATCAATCAATCTGCTGTTATTCTTATGATAACTAGAGAGAGTACCTGTCATCCGACTATGTATTTGTACTTTTCCTTAGTGTGGGTTATTATCGTAACACATTTCGTCGTTATTATTAACTCACTGTTGGTAATAAAAATCCATAGGTAGTTTAGATTTTTCCATATTTTGGCCATTTGGGAAATCGAATTTCCGGAGTATGATAACGGTTATCGGTCAAGAAATCGATGTCGAAGATGTATGAAGATGGAGTGACATTAACCAACGCTATGCAGAAGAGACGACAATATAAGTTACCGACTCAATCAATTGACGTTTATGAGAGGATTCGGCACGACCTGTTTCCATTTCGAATCACGATCAAAATAGTTTTGTCGATCCAATTCGTCCCACTGATTACACGAGATGAATTTATGAGAGATATTTTGCGAACGATCTTGAAGAAAGACCATATCCACTATGATGAGAATAAATTCAGATTGCAATCCATGAAATCTAGTTACCGTTGTTAACGAGATTTAATTTTGAATGACACAACTGGTATTATAGTGGATGTTAGTGAATTATGAATGTCAACTTGATCAGTTTTTTTTACTACACGTCAATGAATGAACTATGATTTATTGAGTGAACGTATTTTCACAATGGATATGTTTGACGTATTGTATGTCAGTTGTTATTGATAAATCATTTTAATCAACCAAATTAGAATAAATGGTTGTTTCTTCGTATGACGTCGGCATAGTCAACTACATTTCTTCACGAATAACAATATTCACGTGATTATACGCGCAACTACCCGTTCACAGATAAGTATTGATGCCAAATCGTAGTTACACACAAAAAATAATTTTTGACTAGTTTAGTTGTTAGATTTTCAACAGCAATTGCCATTCACGGTGAAAACATAAGACATAAGAAAACACAATCGATCAACACTTAATATTAGAACAAAACTTTCCTACTTGTATGGCGGGCGATCTGACATGACATCAGCAGGAGGGACATTTCACCACTCTTGTGATTTTCATTCTTCACTGAATGGTTTTTTATCAACTAGCATGGTTGTTGATATTTTTGCCAAATGAAGTTAAGGAAAACCGATCAGATATCGAATAGATTGCTTTTCGAAATTACTCATATACAAGATAATTGAGAAGGAAGGTTGAGCATAGAGTTACCTAGCACATTACTTAAAAAACTAAATCGCTAAAAGTACGCTCACCAGAAAATATAATTCAAACTATTTGAACTCTGCCCATACTGTTAGAGACATTTCATTTAGACGAGTTATGACGTCTCCTGAAGAAGCTGAATTCCTTAGGAAATCACGAGGTCGATGCCCCTTTTCACAACCACAAAAACCATTATCATAGGTACATGAAATTCTCGGACTTAGTGTGAAACCAAGAGAACTATTCAAACTACAACAGAAATGAAAAGATACAACCTGGAGGTGCTTAGCTTGACCGTGGCGGTTACCTTAACGTGGTGGTCGGGCTTGCCTATCATCAGGACTCAAACGAGCGAAATTGACCGTAACATATATTCCTTTCAGTCACGTCATGTCAGGCAGGTCAATCGGAGAACGGTAGGACTGAAATCAGCAACCCAAGTTCTGAGGGCGATGTCGTAGTGCTGACTTCAGAGGGTTTTGACAGCAGTAAGGTGTTTTTCTCGGACAACCAGCATCTGCAGTGATGCTGCATTCTCACAACGAAGAAGGAGGCTCGAAAACGTCAATCGTGAAAATGTCACACCTCAAACTACCTCCCGGATTTCTGTCTCCAGGGATAAGGCCTTTCAAACAAGAGCGGAGCTACTTGTTTAAATATTTCTCATGAAACAGCTGTC